ACACCCGTCAGCTGACTACGTTGACATCTTCTTTGAGAGGAATAAAAACACGCGCAGACTTTGCAGTGGAACTAGCTGGGAACATCCATTGGCATGAACAGCTGGAGTTTTGCGTTCAATGTGTCGCACGCGTCATTCTCCTGCTCTCTCCTTCCAGTGTGTAACGCAGTAGAATCGCCGACGCGGTTGACAGGTCGCGACGTAACCACTGCTCACTAGGGAGGGGGTCTTCTTCGACTGCGTCCCCTTCCCATTTTCGACGAAACTCGTGACACTAACTGCCTTTTGTCATCAGAACATTGGGACAAAACTGAAGTGCTCTACCCCTGAGCGGAACGCCTGAAAGTTTTCCTTGATTTGCGAGTGATGACGCCATCGTCCTCTTCAACTTGTCCCCCCCCCATTTGAGTTTCGGAAACCCACCTGACAGGAGACGGTGAAGACGTTCAAAAATCGGGGGCTGTGAATCAGCGCCTCGGACAACAAGAGAGGCAGTGACTATAGCCACGACATTTGTAACCTACGTCAAAATGTGTCAGATAATGAGGAAATGAGGTAGTTGAAATCACCACCCGAAACTTAAGATCCTAGACGAAGCTCTCCCAGTGAACGGCTCTTCTTCTTTTGACGTTTCACCAGGGCATCGTATTTTCACTATTAGTAAGTAAAATATTCTTAGGAGGCGCTGGAGACGAAGACGTTAGTGGCCTCGTCAACGAGGGCTGATGAAGAAAAACGCAGACCTTTATTTGCATACTCTGGGGACCTAACAGGTGTTATTTCTGTCCTCTGATGGTCCCATTTGCCGAAAAATTCAATGATGTTGCACTCTTTTGTATCTGCTTTCCCCCTCAGCTTGTAGTGACGCATTGGCCATTGAGAGTTCTGTTTTATTATGCATCCGTGCGGACTGAGTCTAGGCTTCAAAAGTTTGTCTCTTGTCATGCCCGCCGCGATGCTTCCCTCGACTACGTGCTACTTAAACAATTTCGAGAAAAAAACATATAAATAACTAGGATAAATGCTCCGTTCGCCCATTGCAAACGAATCATGGTGGCTTCTGCAGTATCCGCTTTATTTCATACTACATGAAGACGAATTTTTGAGCAACTTCGCGTGGACAGCAAGTTTCGTCTGTCCATCCTGGACGTCTGTAATTAAAGGGCCGGCAATTCAGCAACCGTCGGGTTTGATGATGTTTTATTACTTCTCCCCACGTCATGCTCCACTCGTCTAGCACCGCCTAACCCGACTTCAGCGGAATCTATGATGTCTGGTGTCCGACATTCAGTCAGAATAGCATTTACCCCCTAAAGTGCGATGAGTTTGGTTCTCTTGTGGTCGTCAGCGCAGTCGCTTACTCATGGCGCCTTTCTGTCCACCCCACGCGCCCTGTTAATCACTGGCTTGAGCCGCGCTAGACTTGGCACCAGCGTGGTGCGAGTTCGGGGCTTTCGTCTTTCGTTGATTGGTTGCGGGCGAGAAGGGCCTAAGTGTACGCGTGTGCTTCAAGCCGGGGTTAGGTTGCTAAGTTACTTGCCGCATTTAGGTTGGTCCAGCCCAACCTGTTTTTCCTGGTTGGTGATTTGGGGGTCTTCGAGGTTTCCAACATCCTACCTCGATAATCCTTTTCCGTCCGGTTGCTTCTTTGTTCCTTCTTCTACGGCCCGTTGGACAAGTTACTCTAGACGCTGTCACGCCGTTTTCAGCATTTGGTCGGACCCCTACAATTACGTGTAAAGTCTGGCTCGGTATCTTAAATGCTGTTGTTCTCGTGGTAGCCATCTTCGACAATTCCGTCGTTCAACAACTGGTGGATCGGATTGAGTCACATCACTTCTCCCTACATTATGGTCTATTTAATTAGCCGCATTTTAGCGTCTCTTATCAGCATGCATTTCGAGGAGTCTAAAATGAACGATGTTTAGATCACCGCCCGAATCCTCCCATCTCTAAAAAGATCAATTATTTTGATCCTACATCCTTCAGTCCTATACAGTAGATGCGATACCTCATGAAGTGCTAACCTAAGCCCTGAAATGTTTTCGATTCGGAAAGACTACCTTAGTAGGGTTGCGAAATCGATTATCGCAGAGCATAATTCTAAGATATTTCGGGCATGTCAGGATGTCGGCTCTTGTAAGCGTTTCCTTTCGACTGCCTGTAAAGACTGCATTCTGTAAAGGTGACTACTTAAGTAGCATATATTTGTTAACACTGACTTTTCAATGTCTCCATACTTTTGAATATATTTTATAGAAAATGTGCGCAAAAATGTTCTTTCTTAAATTAATTTGGTAGAGAATCCCGCCTTCTTTAAATGCTATGTATGGGGAAAAAATATCTACGACTTAAAAAACGTTTCTAACCAGGAATTCTTTATGACCGAGAAATGTCCAGTCATGCAGCATCGTATCAGCGCGTTAATTCATGCTGTTGATAAAGTGAATAACATGGTCCAAGTACATCCCAAAATTTTGTGAGCCCAACATGACTTCCTCTTAATAGTGCATAAGATGCATGATTTTCCTTGCATGGGAAAAAGAGCTTGTAGTTTGGAAACCCTGAATGAAAGCGCAACGGCAGGTTGAGTTCAAAATAATTTGGGAATAGAAAACTTTTTTAAAACAACACGGTGCACCACCTTCAGGTGTAAAATTTGAAAAAGACGAAAGCCGCTACCAAAGGAGTAAAGTAAACAATATTTTTGTACATGTTTTCTGTAAAAGGTATTTGCTTTCATAAGGACACCTGAAATTCACGGGAGAAGTTTATACTATTTAAGACGTCAGTTGTTAAGGAATTTAATTTATGCTGGCGGCCTGTTTGAAGGCTGTCATCCTGACGTGAATGAAACATTTTGGGATTACCTTGCACAATTATTGATGTGACGATGCTATTTAAGCAATTTTTGCGAATTGAAAAAAACCATTTCAGAATTTCAGTTAACATTTCAAGAGGTTAAATATCTACTGTAATTTTTCATCCATACACCTAGAGCTGATGTTGTCGTAGGCACCACCACCCCATACTTCCCACATTTTCGAACTCGCAGAGTGGTACCTCGGACGCTGTTGTTCTAACGGCCCACCCGGTTCTAGGAGGCGCAGGCATGCGCATTCACTGATTGCTCCTTGGCCTTCAATGCTATTCCTCACGACCTCCTAGCAGACAGAGAATTGTTCTTTCCCTGCTCAGTTTGTCCAGTTTGGAGGTGAATGCGCGGGGTTCTGTATGCCAGAAGCAAGGCAGGTGAAGAATTGGTTGAACCGGTCGTTGATTGGCTGGCACCCCCTATGACGGTCGCTCGTTCTGCTGCCGATACTACCTCTGATGACGGATTCCTGCACGATTTCTGGAGCTCAAAACAACAAAGTGATGGGTACGGTGCTCGGCCAGACGTCTTCTCCTAATTCTCTACTCAATTTACTAACGAAATTCCCGAGGATCCTACTCACCCCCTCCTAACCAAACTAATTGCTGTGAGAGTATTTCGTCTAATCCGTTGTGGTTTCTGTCGTAAGCTAGCATACGACGATCAGTCATAACATCTTTGGCGCGAATCCTGACGTGTATTTAGACTGAAATCTGGACAGTGAGATTGGAATCTGATATCATGGTAATCATACCGTCCCATGTTGGCATTTTTTGCCAGTTGAGTCTGCATTTAGACGTTTGGATGCTGGCAGTGGTGATTTAACTGCGACTTCACTTAAGACATTGAATAATAATCTCAAATTAAAACTGCCTCTCTTGATTTGTCATTATCTCCGCGCATTTCGTCCTCCCGATCGTATCTTCTGGTGACCACCACCTGATAGCAGTCCAACGATTGTCACTAGCATACAAAGCCGGACTCGGTACCATAGATACTGCAGCTCTACCCGTTCACTTTGCTCTCTGGGGCTTGGGTAAGGGTCGTTGGGCGTATGCATATGCACTTCTCGACTGCTCTTTTACTTTGAATACTGTTTCGCGCAGCCTGCTTGGAAGGCAAGCGCGGTCGCATACTCACGCCGCCTCCAGTTCACCCAACAGTCTGGTGGATTATCTACAATGATCTCAGTTCAGAGCATTGATAAGCAGTCGTTGTAGACACTTACTGTTTATTTTTTAATTTTCCTGCTTAATTTCGGTGGCTATATGCCAATGCATTAAAACCTTCGACCCAAAAAACGGATATGCCGATTATCAATACTTGTTTTGCCAATCCTCTATGCATACATAGGCCCACCCGTAAAACCCTTATTACAATCTTTCCCGTAAGACAGGCAGCTTTGGCTGCTCGCATGTGCCTGGGGTCCTTCAACCGATCGTTGCGCTCTTTTACACCGAGCCTTTCCGTATTGTAGCAGCGAGTATCCACTCAAGAGAGAACTAGCCTATTTATACCAATTATTCCGATCTAACGGATATCCGATTGACTTCCTGAAAAATTGTCCCAAACGTCAAAGGCAACCACAAGATCGGAGTTCTGGTGGAGAAGTGGTACGGGGGAAATATTACTCATTGCTCTGCATGCAAGGAATTTCCGAAGCGATCAACCGACAATTAAACCGGTTTGGCATCTGCATTGCCCACAAGCCGGCGTCCTCCTCACGAGCAGCATTATCCTGGGTAAAGGACCCTTTATCCAAAAGACAGCAAACTAGCCTCATTTACCGAATCCCGTGCGCTAACTGCCGTTGCGTTTACTTTGGTCACGCGGATCGGCAACTTGGGACTCGCATTAGTGAACACAAGCTGATCATCATCATCCGCCGCCGCGACCCCTTATCTCTCGTGTTTGGGTCTGCCATTGATTGTGATCACCGTTTCGATTGGGACGATACAGAGGTGGTCGCCATGGCTAAAACCAAACAGGCCAGGGAATTGCTCGAAGTTTGGCACACCGCATCAACAGCCACGTTACCCTAGATGTCCACTATGAGGACCTCCGATCGCGGTGGACTGACTGGCGCCCACCTTAAGAACGACTGCCAATGCCCGCCCGGATATGCATGATCTCGCCGACACTCCATTCCTCCCTCCTCCTCCTCCTTCTCCTCCTCTTCTTCCTCCTCCTCCTCCTCCTCCTCCTCCTCTCCCCTCCCCCAACACGGTGAGTCGCAGCTGAGACCCACAACACCTATCCTCACCTCCCGCACCCATTACAACACGATGCACAAATCCCCCTCGCAAGGTCGTCTGCTTACCTCTCTGTCTGTGTCCTCAACCAGCAGTGTGACAATCCCCCTCTCACTATTCACTTGGTCTGACGACGAATTGATGTAACCAGCTCGAAAATTTACGAGTAAAACGCTTCTTTTCTGACGAAATTCCTCCCTTCATATATAGAGAATGACGGGTGGCGAGTTACCGATGAACTTCGGTTCGATGAAGCGCCTATGACCCATCTGGTAGACCTCATTGGTGTACCAACTGCGCCAGGAGCATTTGTGTGCATGTTTTTGTTTCCGGTCCCACCTGCTGGTCAGGGTTATGATGGGCTGAATGAAGGCGAAATAAATCCGAAACAGTACTGTATCAATCTACCCGGTTTGAATTTTGACGAGCAAGAAGGACATTTTCAATCGAGTTCCTCACTGGAAACAGTTAGTCCTGCAAAAGCAATTGAATTCCAAAACGCATTGTTGCATACTACCCTCAGCCTTGCTGTCATTGTTGCTCTAATCGTACGACTAGGACAATTTTCTGCAAACCTGGCGATTCTGCTGGCAATCTGAACCTAGCCAACACAGCCTACAAATCCTACATATCGTCTCGAACTGTCCACCGTACCTTTGGAACAGGACCTACTAAAGGCTGGGTCGATAATTTCTACACTGCTTGTTGAACCGCTTAGATTTTTGTACCTGGCATATTACCAAAAAGTTTCAGCTAAAAAGTCCTCCAGGCCTTGCATTCTTGAGATTCTCCGACAAACCCAACCATACACACAGTCTTCCCTATTTGGCCCTAGGCGACGCTTTTTTCTTCGATTCCTGTGGCCTGCCCCTTTCCATAACTTCACAGCATTACTGAAGTACGCACTGACGTCCGAAAGGTAGGGCCCGAGTGTGGAGTCGATCCAGCGATCACCACTTGCTTAGTCAAGTGCGCTAACCCCCGACCAAGCTAACGCCACCAATATGCCTACTGGACGAGTAACCAGAAGTAGGGCAAAAGCCCCCAGCATAATAGGCACGCCAGCACCTATTACAGCAGCCCCAGAACGAATAGCTAAAAAGCGAGGAACTAACGACCAGAAAGAAAACCCAAAAACTGGAGAGACAAAGAAATCCAACTGTAAAAAGGCCGAGGAAAACGGACGGCTGCTTCCGGAAGATGCCTCTTTAGCGGCCGAAACAGAGACATTGACAGATGCTCCGTACCTCATGGCAAATGCTGTCTATCCAAACACCTTTGCTGACTCTCAGAAACAGTCCGATCTTAATACACCTAGTACGAGCGGTGGAATCGATTCATCCATCACAGCCACAGAGTTCTATCCGCAGTCTTCTCTGCCAAGCGCTTCTTCCAAGGTTGTCAACATAACAGTCAAACAAACAGACGACGTAAGCGCATCTGCTCCACCACCACCACCAGCGCGTAGTCCCAGAGCGTTACATCATTTAGGAGACCACAATTCCGTAGAAAATAAAAAAAGAGACCGACAGAGAAAAATGTCTTATTATTCAGGGGCTCCCTGAATCAAGTGCAAATACTACCAAGGAGCGGATATCGGAGGACCTATCACTCTTCCAAGGTCTTCTCAATAATATTTTGGAATCCACGGTGGCTATTGAAGTGATCAAGGCCTTCCGCCTTGGAAAACGAGCAGATAATCCATCAGTGTCCATTCGTCCCCGACCTCTTCAAGTTGTGCTGGCCAGCAGCGACCAAGGCAGTCTCATTTACTCCAGGCAATTCAGGATTAAAGGCTCCAACCCAGGTGTTTTTTTCAACCGGACTACTCGCCAGCGGAAAGGCTCAAACGTCGTCAGCTAGTTCTGGAACTTAGAAAGAGGCTCAGCGAGAGGGAGAACAATGTAGTTATATACAACAACCAAGTACGGCGGCGTCCATCACTCTTCCTTTGTACAGGTCCAGTCAGAATGACCGCGCAGCCGACATATTAAGTGGAGGCGCTAACCAAAATGTAACCACATCTTCCGTCAGCTGGAAATTGAAATTCTTGAACACCAACGTGCAGAGTTTGCTATCAAAGTTCGACGAGCTGAAGATCCACCTCTGCGACCTATCCCCTGACGTAATCTCTCTAACAGAAACTTGGTTGACCCAACATGTGGACGACCGTGAGCTGGCCTTGCCTGGCTACCAGATGTTTAGAAGGAATAGGGAAGGGCGTCAGGGAGGAGGCGTACTAACGTATGTAAAAAATGGGCTAAATGTATCAGACAAGACCGATAACCTTTCGTGCAGTTCCGAGGCAATCTGGTTGTCTATTAAAGTGCCGAGCTCGCCTAGCCTCGATGTCCTGACAGTTTATCGACCGCCGAGACGGAACAACATGGCCGACGCTCGCCTGCTGGAGGAGCTCGAAAAGTTCGCTACGCGGCCGGATATCCTGATCATGGGTGACTTTAACGCGCCCCATATTGACTGGAGCTCAACCCACGTAAACAGCTCAGAACAGGCCTTCGATAGGAGTTTTCTGAACACGGCACTAAATCTATTTCTCACTCAACACGTCATGTTACCAACTAGAGTACGCGAAGGCCAACAAGCCAACTGCCTTGATCTTTTCCTTACGAAGTCACAGGACAGCATTGATGAGGTGTCATGCCTACCCCCCCCCCCCTTAGGTAAAAGTGAGCACGTCGTTCTTCTATGGGATTACTCGCTTTTTTCCATGCCCAAGAAACCCGGGACAGTTAGAAGAAACCATTGGCGCGGGGATTTCGACCAAATGAGGGCTGAAATTTGACTCATTGAGTGGGAGGCCATATTTGTTGGGAGCATACTCGAAGGCTGGCAACGGTTCCGAGAAATTCTGCACAAGCTGATCGTAAACCACTGTCCGCTTTCACGGAAGAGGTTAACGAACAGACCTCGATGGCTTACGCAAGTCTTGAAGAATAAAGTGAATAAAAATCGAAGGCTGTGGAAAAAAACGCTTTCTGACAGGAGCCCCACATCTATATGCGCGCACAAAATTCAAAGAAACCGAGTCAAGAGCCTTATTCTCAAAACTAGAAGGGAATTCGAACGGGATCTGCTTAACCGTGTCGCGAAGAACCCTAAATTATCCTACGGTTACATTAGGCAGTGCACGCGGAACAAGGACCCAATACCCCTGATAAGGACTGCTGAAGGCGAAAATCTCACTGAAGACAAGGCGAAAGCTGATCACTTTTCAGAATTTTTCGGTCTGTTTTTAGTAGCGAAACAGGATCCAACCCTTCGGTCCTTCAACACTTTGAAGACACCACAATTATGGAGACGGTTCAGTTCATTTAGAGTATGGTTCTGACGGAGTTGCTGAGGTTAAAGGAATCCAAATCACCAGGTCCCGATGAGATTACGGCAAAGATTTTGAAGGAACTCGCCTGTGAGTTGTCTAAGACACTCTCTATGCTTTTCCATACATCGTTCGAGACCGGATATCTGCCACCTAACTGGAAGTCGGCGTGGATTACGTCGCTGTGCAAGGGCGGAATTCGGGTCTCTGCGAACAATTATAGACCTGTCAGCCTCACCTGCATTTGCTGTAAGATTGTGGAGAAGATAATAAAGCAACAATTAATGCAGTTCCTTGAACAGAACCATTTGCTTTCCGACTCCCAGCATGGATTCCGAAAAAGCAGATCCTGTGTGACAAACCTGTTCTACTGTCTGGAACACTGGACTAGGGCTGTTTATAGAGGAGATATGGCGCATTTCATCTATATCGACTTTAAAAAGGCCTTCGATATTGTGCCTCACCACCGCCTTCTATACAAACTTAGCCCTGCAGGAGTGCAAGGTAAGCTTCCGATGTGGATTGGAGCTTTTTAATCGGCCGCTCTCAAGCCGTTCACATCAGTGACCAGCAATCTGCCGAATTTGTCATTAGGAGTGGTGTTCCCCAAGGCTCTGTTCTTGGCCCTACACTGTTCCTCGTATACGTCAATGACTGCGCAAACGAACTGAATTGCGATGTCGCAATGTTTGCCGATGACATAAAGATATGGAGTACCATACGAAGCGAAGTTGACGAGGAGCGACTGCAGACAAATCTGGACCACATTGAGCAATGGTCGAAAGACTGGCTTCTACCGTTCAACGTAAACAAGTGCAATTACCTACGCTTCGGAAGAGCCAGTTCTCCTAACCACACGGTCTACCGTCTGACTGGTAAACCACTGCAAGAAGTCGAGGCCCAGAAGGACTTGGGTGTATGGATCACAGCCTCGCTTAAGCCTTCACTACAATGTTCAAAGGTGGCCAAGTCGGCGATGTCCATGCTATACCTTGTCAAACGGCCGTTCTCCTCCTTCGATGAAGACTGCTTCGCCAAGGTCTTTCAGACTTTTATGCGACCGCATCTGGAGTTTTCTATCCAAGCATGGCGACCCTGGACCGCTAAAGACCTGGGCATACTCGAAAAAGTTCAACGACGAGCAACGAAACTTGTATCTGGGCAGTGGTCACTACCCTACGAAACGCGATTAGCTAATCTTGACCGCTTTCCTTTGAGTTACAGACAGCTACGCGGGGACCTGATACAAGCTTTTTGTATCGTGCGCAATCAGGGCTGCTGCCTCGCATCAGGAGACTTCTTCGAGATGGGGACTACGACTAACCTGAGAGGCCATCCACTCAAACTATGTGTGACTGGTGCCCCGCTATACACACGAAAGTTCTTCTTCAACAGAGTAATTGCAGCTTGGAATGCCTTGCCTGAGGATTTTTTTATGTCGGGCTACGTAGATACTTTTAAACGGAAGCTAGATCACCATTGGAGCTCGAACCAAAATAACGGCGGTCTAGCGTCACCTTGATAGCCGAATTGACAATTGAGTGTTATGAAAATGCTACTACCAACGTTTGAGTAACATATGTTTATGTAATTTACTAATCCAGGTCACGTAGCGCACTGCTGCCCGCATTTACCATGATACTTTTAAAATAAAAAAAATACTTCTTTTCCCGTTTCTTAAGTGTACATCAACTGTCCGTTGTATTTAATCGACAAAGCAAGTTAATGTGCCTCTAAATCCTGTTAACGCCTGACATTCTGTGTTCATCTGCACAGTTTTTGTTATTCCCCTCGCATTTCTTTCATGTTACTCCCTTTCAATTCCATCCCTATACTTCCTCTGCATGTAACCAATAGGGTTTCAAAGGTACAAACCTACTTTCCCTGCAATTTACTGATACTGATACCCTCATTCTCTGTTTAAGTGGTGTTTACCGATCGTTCTCACGGAAATCACGCCTTCCATTGCGCCTTACGGGTTCTCTCTCGAGCCCGTTGCCCGTTGGTTAGAGGCGTTGGACTTCTAACTGGTCGCGAGTTCGAGGCTCGACTGTTCCACACTTCGGGGTTGGGTATGGCTGGCTGACGACGGCTAATAAGCCAGAAATGGCCATTCCAGTCTCCCTTGTCTTTGTCGGCAATACCAGTCTGCCTATCTATCATGCGCCGCTATGCGGCTGCTGGTTGGGCTCGAGAGAGAGTCCATAAGGCACAACGGAACGAGTGAGTTCCGTATGAACGATCGGTGAGCGCCCCCTAACATTGTATATTCCCGATCGAAAACCGACAAGGCGACGGGCTCGTGGCCCAGTGAGTAGAGGCGTTGACTTCTAAACCAACAGGTCGCGAGTTCGAGGCTCGGGTGTTCTACACTTCGGGCTTGGGTATGGCTGGCTGACGACGGCTTATAAGCCAGAAATGGCCATTCCAGTCTCCCTTGTCTTTGTCGGCAATACCATTCTGCCTGTATGTACATATATATTACTTAAGTAACTCACTAAGAGTGCAAGAGGTCAGACGAAGACAGCTGTTTCACGGTCGTTTCCGTCATCAGTACGTCGCGTAAGATCCTTACCACAACAGTGAGGGCCAGACGCCTACTTGACAAATATGTATGTATATATTGTTGAATAGAGAAAAAATGCGCAGCTGTACCAAAAATGAAAAGAAGAGGCGATCACGGGAGCCATAAATTATCGTCTCCTCTTCCCATATATACATATATTTAATCAGGAATGGGCGCACACCGATCTATTGGCTTCACGAAACAAACAAACTCCGTATATATGCAGAAGCTAACTACCGACAAAGACAAGAGAAACTGGGGCAGATATTTCTGACTTATTAGGCGTCATCGGTCAGATATATCTAACCTCAGGCTTTCAAAGCCTGAGGTTCAAACCTGCGTCCACCTAGCTGCTATTCCAAAGCTCTAACCATCAGGCAAAATCCCTCTTGTCGCAGTTAAACGTAGCCCAAACAACACCAAAACGAAAAAAGTGCATTGAGGTCAAAGAAGGGCTTTTTACTAAAATTCGAAGATTCCGGATTCTGTAACGACCGTGTTTTGAAAAATTTGATTCCCGCGGTCTTTCCACCAGAATATCTTTTCTGTCTTTATTGTGCAGTTTTTAGGAGAAGTAAATTAAAATAGAATCATTTTCCTTCATCTGTAACTAGGGGAGGTTACCGTTAGGAGTGGTGTTCCCAAGGCTCCGTTCTTGGCCCTACACTTTTGATTATATACGTCAACGAGCGTGCATATGAACTGGATTGCGATGTCGCAATGTTGACTGATGATATAAACATCTGGAGTGCCATACGAAATCAATTTGACGAAGCGCGATTGCAAACAAACCTAGACCGTCTCGAGCAATGGTCAAACGACTGGGTATTGCCGTTTAACGTAAACAAGTGTAACTTCCTGCGAGTTGGAAAAATCATTTCTCCTATATGCATGGTCTACCGTCTGACCAGCAAACCAGTGGAAGAAGTCGACGCCCAGACGCACTTAGGTGTGTAGGTCACGACCTCGTTCAAGCCTTCGCTGCACTGCCTAAAGGAAGCAAAGTCGGCGATGTTCATCCTATACTTCCTCAAACGGGCGTTCTCTTCCTTTGATGAAGAACGTTTCGCTAAGGTTTTTTGGGTTTTATGCGGCCGCATCTGGAACTTGCTATCCAAGTGTGGAGACCCTGGACCACTAAAAACCTCAGCATACTCCAAAAAGTTCAACAGCGAACAACGAAACTTGTAACTGGACGGTTGTCACTGCCCTACGAAACACGATTAGCTTATCTTGATTTCTTGCCTTCGGTTTACAAGCAACTACAAGGTGACCTAATACAAGCTTTCCGCATCCTGGGTAATCAGGACTGCCGCCTCGTATCAGGAGACGTCTTCGATTTGGCGACTACGACTAGCCTGAGAGGTCATCCACACAAACTAAGTGTGACTGGTGTCCGGCTAGACACACGAAAGTTATTCTCCAGCAAAGTGGCTGCAGCTTGGAATGTTTTGCCTGAGGACGTTGTTATGTCTGGATCCGCAGGAACTTTTAAAAGGAGGCTGGATCAACATCGGAGTGCGCACCACAATGCCACCCGACCGCAGCCATCTTGATAGTCAACGCTGACAATCTACTTCTATAATATAATTACTACTACTACTACTACTACTACTACTACTACTACTACTACTACTACTACTACTACTACTACTACTACTACTACTACTACTACTACTACTACTACTACTACTACTACTACTACTACCAATGTTTAAGTAATATCAGTTTATGTGATTTATTAATGTTTGCACTACGGCGCACGCCACTGTCCGCATTCAGCAAGATGCATGCCGACTACAAGCCTTATTACTTTCCTTGCAGCGTAGGTGTGCTTCAAATATCTATTGTATTAATCAAAACACCGAGTTCTTGTGTCTTAAATACTGTTAACGCACGAAATACTGTGATCATCCGTACAGTTTTGATATTCTTTAGGGTAAGCGGATTCCTTACTAACAGCACAGGTACTAGCCAAAAGCACGCACACGCGTGTTTCGTCGATATTCTGCTGCTGAATGACACAGCTGCAAAGGGTTCGGCTCATCAGTGGGTCACCAGCATGTCCCGTCTGCTTTCTGGTAGATACCCCAATTTAGAAATTGTTGCTTTCAAATTTTCTCAGAAATTAACTGCCACCTTGGAGTAGATCAGTATATCGTAGGTCTATAGGCTCAGATCAAAGTTTTTGTATATGAATATTTGTGCTGAAGTCCAACAAACACAGCGGGCAACCGATGAACTTCGACTCAAATATTCATACATAAAAACTTCGGCCTAAGCCTGAAGACCTAGAATATACTAATCTACTCGAAGTTTGCAGTTACTTGCTGAGGAAATTAGACACTAAAAGTTTTGATATTCCCCTTGTATATCTTTCACGTTACTCCCATTCAAATTTTTCATATACTTCCTCTGCGTGTAACAAATACGGAGGTTAGAACGCAGCTGGTAGCAAGGAATGTGTAAGCGGAACGCAACAGAAATCATAAAACCCAACGCTAAGCCAAACCCTAGCCATAAGCCTAAGCCTAAACTTTGCTGTCAATCTAACCTTAACCCTAACCCTGACCTCATCCTTAAAACTAGACCTAACCCTAAGCTTAACCCTAATAATGACCTTAACCCTAGCCCTAACCTTAGCCTTAAACCTAACTCTAACCCTAAACCTGAGCCTAGCCCTAGCCTTAACCCTAACCTTAACCCTAATCCTAACAGTAATCCTAACGGGAACCTTAACCGTAGTCCGGTAACATAGTCCTAACTCTAAAATCTAATCGCAACCGTAATACCGAAACCTCATCGTAAAGTCTAACCTTAACCTTAACCCCGAAATCTAACTCTGAAATCCTACTCCTAACCCGAAAATCGGAAAACCGTAAACGTGAACCCTAATCCTAACCTCAACCCTGAAACGGAAGCCAAATGTTCTAACCCTAAGCAAGAAAACCATAACCCTAACCCTAAAGCCGAACCCCAGCCCTAAAGTCAAACCGTAATCGGAAACCATAACTCTTACCGTAACACTGAAACCTGACCCTAAAAAGCAAATCCTAATCCTGAAACTTAACCTAAGCCTAACCCTAACCCTCACTAAAACTCAAAGGCCTGGCCGAAACGGTTGACCTTCCTAACTCAGTAGAAGCACACCTACTGATAACAAGTTCCCTAGACAAACGATGCGCCACCAGATGGGAATGACGCTCAACACACCTGATTACGTGACGTAACATGCTCACTCTCTTCTGCCTCGTAGGCGGTTACGTAACGGCGGTAAAAGAGATGTTGACATTGGGATGGCAATTTTTGGCCAAATAGCTATGGTCAGGCAACTGTATTTGGGGTCTGAGCCCGAACTTCTAAGTGCATTAACCGTTATGGTGCTAGAGACAAGACTGCACAACCTTTGAGTGAAGGTCACGTCAGTTTTAAAAGCTGAACTTGTATCACTGAGCCTAAACCGAAATCCAAATAAAACTTGGTCCGAACTGCCTATTTAAATAACTTCCCAGAAGGATGAACTTAAATTGGGAGTGTAAATGTCTCCTTATAGCGTCACAGTAAATTACATCAATTTATTTTTAAAAGATACTGGTGAAAAAGTTTCAATTAATATATATAGTCAGAAGCGGCTCACAGGACAGTTTCTTTGGCTGGACGACCTAAGCAGAAGTATGTGTCTTTTCTTACGGACTGCCCATTATCGCCAGTGGGACCTCGGTTGGCACATTCGCCGAGCCCGGTTTTCCTCCTTATGGCGCAGTCGCTCGGATGCAGACGAAATGCGCGGTCTCTGTCTCCCCCCGAGGCTCCCCGCTACACGTCTGGACAGATCAGCTGGCCTTTTTTGGATTCCGATCCTCAGATTAGTCCTCGAGGGCTCGCAGAGTCGTGGCTGGACCCTGTGCTTGTGGTGTTCCATTGTCCTCTCCTCCGAAGGACACCAAAACCTCCCGGCGGCACGTCGGCTTCCGCCCGGTCCGCGCTGACGATCATAGCAGCCGGTTCGCCTCGGGTACGACCTTCTGACTGGGTGTTCTGGTGAGTGGCCTCTCTTACGTGTTTGCAGCGTAGGTGTTTCCCGATGACTGACCAGTTCACGTCTGGATAAGTTTGGGGAACATTGGCAGGAAGTACCGACGTTTGTCGCTGAGCTGAGAGATTCTGCTGCATCCGATTCACCACCTCCGTCCGTGAGGATCTCGCCCTCCTCTCCTCCCGCTGTGTCAGTGTAAAATTGGGGGCTTCTGAAAGTTTGCCTCTGACAGGAACCACTGTACTTTTTGTTGCATGTTTCCTGTGGTTCTTCTTTTTCTCCTCCTCCCTCTTCTTCGTCGTCGTCGTCGTACCTCCGATCAAGTTCATATGGAGGTTCTTCCCCAAGTTCAGCCTCTTTTGAGGAGGCAACGACACGCCAAACAAATCCTCTTGTTCTGGCGCAGCCGTCATGGTTAGTGTCGGTTTGTTTAAGCGTTCGATAGCTGTCGCTCCCTGCATCTGAAGTGTCTACCGTACCCCGTCTCCGACGGACTGTTTTAGGTGTCTTGGAGTGATCTCCGATGGGCCTCGGTGAGGATTCCGTAGAAACAGAACCAAGCTCGTCCGACCGGCCGACATCAGTGATTCCCTGACAAGCCCTGACGATTGACTTGAGTCTTCTTTCAGAAAATGAGCCCGCACTGCTCTGCCTCGACCGCAAATGAGGCGAAGGTCTACGTTTTGGCCGGGAGTAGTCTGTTTGTCGGCGCGGTCGACTGGTGATAATTTCTCTGGTAGTAGGCACTCCGAGAGGTCTTCCGCGTCTGTCTCCAAAATTCTGAATTCGACGATGCGACCAGTCCTCTGTAGTTCGTCTGTGAAATGGTCGGACAGCCTGAACCGTCATTTTAGCAGTTTTAACCAGCCTGAGATGGGTGGCTGTGTGTAGGCTACGCCCGGTATCCCCTCTCAGAAAACCCCGGCGCATGCTGATATTCAGACGACTGTGACGAAGGCGTACGCTCTTTATGCGGTTTCTGTCAGTGACAACATTCCTTGGCTCTGATTTAGCTGATTCCAGGAGAGTTGATCGCTTTAATCTGCTGACTTTTGGACGAGAACCAAACAGATGTTGGCGAGATGTTTCGCAACTCCTACGCACGACGCCTGCTCTACGTCTGCGACATATGCTCACTTCTGCTTCTGTTAAAGGTGGGTGACGGGCTCTGTGGTAGTTGTCTTCGGGCGGTCGAGAACGATCTTCTCGCCCCTGGTTTTCGTAGCCAACTGGGATTCGCCCTGATTGTGGTGTTGGCGGAGTCTTGGGTCCCTTAAATGGTCGACAGTCAAATTCGCCACTGTTTGGTCCCACGCTTTGCCGTATATTTAAATCCCCAGCTTCATCGGGCTCCTTGCGTGAGGGGAGGAATTTATGTACCAAGGCATTACTAACGGGCGAGCTACCCGAATCATTTCGTAGGTACTGCTGAGCCTCCTTGAGAAGGTGGTTGAATTTAACCAACAGAGAAGTATGCTGCAAAATATCCATGAAGTTCCTTTCATGACCGTGTGTTGTAGATCTACAAAAGGACTTTCTAATGCAGTACTCTCAAAAAAGCAGTACCACGATAGCAGCACATGACAGCCAAAACTTACGACATTGATTGCCCGTTGCTCTGAGGCAATATCCTGTCTGTCATCAGACAGTTCCGAAAGGTTCCGCTCACTGCATTCTCCCTTTGTTCCATGGATAACAGAAGCAAGAAATTTCGCAGCATAATTTCCTTCTCGCCATCGCTTTGACCGGTCGAATTCCCACCTCCAAATCCATCCGGGAATCCAATGCATGGGATATTGCCTGAGAATTCAAATGCCGCTTGAAGTCCAGCACGAGGGTCCACAGTAGCCTCTGCGAGCGCCATATTTTGAGTCAAAGGGGAGACGTCCTGTAACAGAGGTAAAACCAGATTAACTCGGTCCACGCCTTCAGTGGAGAGGCTGGCAGAGGGAGCCCGTGCCGAGGTTCGCGTAAGCACGTGTGCACTCACCTCTTGCATTTTCTTTTACGTTGACGCCTATCTGCCGCAGAACTTCACGTTAATTATTGATCCACCAGGTGAAAGGCCAGACAGATCGAAGTTACTGACGAACAAAATTGAAATCCCGCCCTCATTGGTCGCTTCAAGGTCAGCGGTTAACTGTGTTCGACTGGAAGTGTGTAATGAAGGGTTTTGTTAAATCGGGATAGGGCGACAAGCGTAAGCGGAAAAAACTGCAAATAAGCGGGCAGTGAACTTGTTAGAAACGAGTGCTGGATCTAGTTACATCGTAAGTACGGGCGTCGATTTTCATGCGGAGTTTTTCTGTAGGAAAGGGAGGTTTCGGAATTCAGCCTGCTTCCCCTGAAAAAGATACTTTAGATGCCACCGACAACTGTGAGATTAGAATTGGCTTTCCATGAGGTGAGAACCCGGAAACCGCAAAATGGATTTTTTATTTGAACGATTTTCCCGGCCCCGACTGACGAAAATTACACTGGGAGGCACAGAATCACTCCATGGCCTGGGTAGGGATAAGCTTACCAACCTCTGCCACCTGATTCAGACGATGTGGACGTGAAAGTGCATGCTAACACGAGGACAGTCGGGCTGGTGGGGTCCTGCCAACCCAATGCAACATTCTCTTTCATGCAAATTTACTTCCCACCCCTTGCAAGCTCAGTCCCCTTAAATCAGTTCCACTGTCTTGTAATCTGATGGTTGTAGCAATAGTGGCGGTGGAGTTTACTCCTCCTCCTCCTCCTCCTCCTCCTCCTCCTCCTCCCTCCTCCTCCTCCAAAAGAGGGTCGCGCTGTAGTTACGTCTGACCGAAACGGGGACCAGACTGGCCAGTGTTCCGTGGAAGTCCCTAATCTTTGTTGTACATGCGTGTGGCAGGCGTCAGACACGCTCAACCTCACCGTACATATGTCCCAACTAAACAGGCTGATGATACATAGGCAAGGGAAGGGCGAGTGAAGACGATACTGTGGTATTCTTTCCAGACGACAATTCAGCATACTCCTCATTGCAATAAATTTGACATGCTAGAAATTATCGCTGTTCCCTCCTCGCGAGACAACAGCGGTACCTGACGCCCACAACGGAAAAATTCATGATGGTGGACTGTTGCTCCAAAACGGGCAGCGCTGGTGAGTCCAACCTAAAGTTGATCACACGTCTCGACGGGGTTAGATACCAACGGCATTAATTTTCGTCAGTCACCGCACCTAATCTCCATTTAAATCGGTTTGACCCATTCTTATCAGTGGGAGGAAGGAGAGATGGCTGATCTAGAGGTCATTTACAGCACCTCCAAATTCGTGACCTAAAAGGTTTAGTTCTTGTCATTGAATTAACGAAGGGAACATTATAGGAACTTGTTAGGTCCTCCAAAATCCGGATGAATAAATCTACGTGAAAGCACCCACTGGGCTGGTCCGCCATTTCAACACCAAATATGGCAAAAAGGGTAGTTTACGGTTGGCAAGCTAGACCATCAGACCACGCCGGCTTTGATGGCAGCCGCCATCTCTGAGACCAGGCTACGTTCGTCAGCCTAGAAGGGCAAGACTTAGTGGTCGGGAGGAGGCGACTTGTCCGTTTTTGGGCTGCGGATGTCCCACTGACTGAAGTGACGGCAAAATAAAATCGGTTCGGAGTTCGCACAGCAAATGCCCACACAGACTTCGAGCAACCTGGCCTCTGTTTCTCGCCTCACACTGTCTGTGGGGAAAAACTGAACCATCATCTCCGGACCCCTTTAAATCAACTCGAGTTTACGCTGAAAATGTTTATATGCGCCAGCTGCTTGGTGCCTGACAACTTCGGAGTCAACGTAAGTTTGGATCACAAACTGCATTAGTCTCACCGAACCTGCTCCATGTTCAGTTGGTTTTGTAATACGGTGTGCTATCCTGAGTGGATCGGAGTTGGTCCGACCAAGTGCTCGTATGCATCTGTGACCTCTGGGCATTCTGAAAACCGGGCGAACGGCACTCTGACAGTCCGATACCTGTTTTGTGTTTTGTTTATAAACTGAAACTCCAAAATATGATTTTGGTTAGAAAAAATAATAACCTCGCAATATAATCGCAAGGTATTTCAGTTAAGTCCGAGTAGCGAATTTTGAATGCGTGAATTTCTGGCCGCCTGGGAAAATTACACTCGTCGAAATGGCTACTTAGGTAGCATACGTTTTCGATTGATTTCCGGTGTCCTCAAAATGTCATTTCTTGTGCTCATTTTGTAGTAAAGTGCGTCTTCTTCGAATTCTCAAACCGAAGGATAGTTTCCGGGTTCAAACAGTTTGCAATCATGAGATATTTAAGAACGGGAAGAGTCTGCCCAAATAGCACAGTTTATGTCATTTACTAACGCGACTCGCTACCACTGTAAAATTGTATGAGCCCTGTGTGATAGCTGCGCAACAGGAGAGGGTAATTTATAATCTTTCTTAGATTAACAGTGTTTAGTTTGCAGTTCGAAAATTTTAACCTCAACTGCAACGGCTAGTCGGGTTCGAACACATTCCAGAGTAAACAACTGGAAGATACCGACTCTTCGAGAAACAAATTTGAGAAGGTGCAATCTGCAGCAAAATGAGTACAAAAGTGGGTATTATGCATAAATTCTCCGAAATACGTTCGGATCTACAATGACATCAAGAATAAATACAAAAAGCACACCACTTCAGCAGGCACTTTTGGCGAATGCGGTTTCTGCGGGAGGTCGAAAGGCCATGCATTCAAGATCCAGCGGGCTGACGCGACTGAAATATTTGGCGACTATGATGCATGGTAAGAATTTGACTGCCGTTATCAAAGATCCTACCATGTGCCGCACAGTAAAGCGGGCACAGGGACAGCGATTGTAGACTTGCGCTGCATCTACCGCACTCTCTCCTCCCTCAATAACTTGAGCCCGGTGTCAGGAGTGGCTGTCAAGAAAACCGAAGGCGGGGTCGGGTGCAGTAACTGCCACAGACTCCTGGTCTTTTGCGGAAGCAAGCGGTCGGCTTGGATCCCATCCGAGTTGGATACAACAATTGGACGGACGATTCCTACACAAGAGGCCGCAAGATAACCGCTATCACTGTCCCATCTATATAGATCGTTGAATAACTGATGTGGTGTGCATTCCGGAGTGATATAATGAAAAAGAGAAGGCTCTTCGAAAAATGGAGTTCTACTCGTAAATTTTCAAGTCGGTGACACCGACCCGTCGTCAAACGAAATGAACAGAGGGAAAGTGAGATCAACAGACTAGGTCGGTTGGCACGACAGGACAAACAACGACAAACAGACAGCTGATGCGTGAGAGGGGTGGCACCGAGTTATGGTAGGCTGTTGGGCAGGGGGAGGGAAGGAAGGACCGTTAGGGCTCCCTGTGTTGGAGATAGAGCAAGAGCGGATCAGTGGGAATGCGGGCGGCTGGTCACTCATGCGGGATGAGGTCAGGGGGCAATGCGCCGGCGTTGGAGGTTTTAGAGGTTTCAGTTGTTGTTCACCGTGTCGCAAGGGTGGACGGAATGGCGAGACAGCATACGTCTATGTGGCCGAGTGAGGGTTAGCAGTTGTTAGGGTGTGGGAACAAGACTGTGAGTGTGTACGTAAACCCCCGTAGCGGATGATGCTGGTCATGCCAGAATGCCAAGCTTCGAGGAATTCTCATGCCTGTTTGGTGTTAGCACTTATGATCACTTCAGTAACGTCCCAATTGAAGCGGCGGTCATATTCAATGGCGTGCGCAAACACGAGAGACAGAGGTTCATGTCCGCGGACGGCTATCTTGTGCTCGATAATGCGAGTCCCGAGACATCGGCCTGTATGGCCAATATAAATACAAGGGCAGTTAGCGCACGGAATGCGGTTGATGACGTTATTTAGTTGTTCCTTATAACTAAAATCGAATTTCACCAATTACTCACCTACTGCACCGGAGCAGGCGATTCAGGCATCCCTTGTGGATACAACTCCTTTTGAGCAGGGCAATTGCACTCGTGTATTCCCCTGTCCGAAAAGACTATATTCGAACTTGTCTCCATCAGTCTTATCCAATGATGGGTTCGAGTGCGCGTCTGAAATGTCAAACGTACAGACTTTCCACTTCAGCGAGAGCGTCCCCTTGGTCCTCCAAGTAGCCACCCATCTTAAGGGTAAGTCACTTGAACTGAATGTTTTGCTTGCTGATTTCTGACTCCCTCCTCGGTTATGCAGGGCCTGACGAAATTCGACCGCCGTGGCTGACGATGTCCGCCGTGTGCTCCCAGGCAGGGACAGTGACTTACGTGTGAATCAGTTTTATAGTGATAACAGACTTGCGCAGTATCAACCGCACTCTCTCCTCCTCCCTACCAGAGCACGGTGTCATGGTCAACTCAAGAAGACCGGAGGTGGGAGGCCGCGCGGCGAAAACCTGCACCTAGGCGTGTCGCCACACCTCCTGGGCCCCAAAAAACACCTGGTTAGAATTTTAGACAATAAAAAAGGGCGGCGGTAATAATCCCAACTGGCGCGGCGTGAACCGGTAACTGAGCCTACCACATCTGTCATGGGTGCGCATTCCCGACAGCGCCTGCTCCGACGTGGGCCCCCTGTTGGTCCAGCACGCCTCCCGCGTGGCCCGTTTTAGGCGCATTACTGGCCTTTACACCGACGGGCGACACCGCCTCAAAACCCGGCGTCCTAATGGCCGCATTCGTAAGTCACGTGTGATTTTGTCTCACCGTCCAAAGCTTAGCGGTAGCTCAGATCGCCTCCGAGGTCTTAACAGATTATCCCACAGCCCGAAAGACCAGGGCCACGCGCCCTCCCCACATTGAATAATTACTAATGTACGTCAATATAGCACTCCAATCCACCTATTTCTACGTTGCCTGCCAACAGCGATCTAAAATAAGCTGGCTGCGAACAGATGACACATGTAGACTGTGCAAACGACCTTGTAATTCCGCAACTCTACTGAATACTGCCTCAAGACAATAAAGTGGCGAATCCTAGACAGAAGACGGTAGGTGGTCACGCCTAACGAGGCTGCGTGAAGAGAACTAGGGCAGATCGGGGCGAATGGCGAACTTGCGTTTGCTAAAGCCTAATAGCCACACGAACAAGAGCGTAACCGAACAAAACCTACTCATATAAATACAGTAGCAAATTTTGCATGCATAACGTATCCCTACCAGTCAGTAAAATGCTTTCGGCAGAGATGAGTGGTATACCTGAACTAAGCATGGTGCTGACTCCCGGACAAATTATTTTAGTTGTTTTGGGTCCGCAGCCAATTATGCGGCTCCTGAGGAGACTATCGACGTTTTGTAGACTAAGAGGGCCCCTGGATACCGGACACCCATCTACGACCGCCAGAACCGACATGGCCAATAGTGTACTAAGTGGACCGCACTCACGCCTACAGGACGGTTAGCCTGCACCGGAAGTGAGGAGACAGCAGAAAACGACGGCGTCCTGATCGCTGAGATCGCAACGGACCCACCGCACACACACACACACAGAAATTAGTCGATTTCGACGGGCAAATCCGAAAGCTGACGCAGGGCACCCAGTCCAAAGGTGTGTACGTGGGTGTGGGCATGAAGAGTAGGCGACAGGAAATTGTTTGAATGGGGACGGGACGTCCCGAGCACTCGAAAGCAGAAATCAGCCGAGACAGCAAGGTTCTCGGGGGGGGGGAATGTTTGAGGAGGCTCTGCTCTTTGATGCAATCCACCTTTCCACAGACAGTCTGCAGATCCTGTAACAATCGGGCTAAAGTTAATTAAGCGGTCCACCGGTAGCGAATGTTCTCCCCATCTGCAATGCACCGCTGAGTACCGAATGTTCGCAGCCTGCGTCATCAGAACGCCCCAGGTTGCCTGGGAGACAAGCCAATCCTACGAAGCATAGACGAGTAGCAGATAAGTTGGAACGTTCATTTCCCTGGAAGTCTTCCCCTGCTATCAAAAAAGGTTAATTCGAACAAAGGCTCCGTTGCCATACCGTAAAAGACGTCGAGACTAGGTTGTCATTATTCAAAGTGCGAATGTACAAGAGGGAGGGGGGGGGGAACAAATCAGGTAGGCGGTTTGTATCTGGGGATAAGTTTGGAAAACTTAGGAAGTCCTTGGATATCGGAATCATAGTAGACGTTCATTTTGTCCCGACAACGCTCCTTGTAGTGATGTGTCCCATCGGGGTCGATGGACAGCGGAAGGAGACCTAGAATTGAATAATGAAATATCAAATTTTTAGGTCACTTAACTGATTTAGATAGCAATATTATGCAGCACAATTGACATTACCAGCGTTTTGTGCGCGTTCAATCAGCATCTCTACACGTAGCTGAGATCCCGTAGTAAGGCCAGATACTTCCCTAGGAAGAATAGTACCGTCGGGGCGAAGGAACTGGCTCAATATAAGAACATCCTAGAGGGGGGAGGGAGGGGGAGACTAAGGTGTAGCAGGACCTACTTACGGTATGTCGAAGCTTTAGACCAAGCCGAATAATAGGGTCAGTTATGCGGGGATCCCCCAGGCCTTCCATGTTTAAAAGATGATCTGCGCGTTCCGACTTGCACTTAACTCCCTCCACGGTTGTTATCTTGCCAGATTTCACGATGCGGACTGCAAGAAGAATGCGTTAGCAAAAAATTGAAGGCTGGTTGCAGTTACTTACTCTCCTTTTTTCGGAGACAGGAAGTCACACAGATGCGTCGGGAGGGGAGAAAGAAAAGGCGGGCGAAAAGTCCGGAGTGCATTTTCGCGCCAGTGAAGCTGGACAGTCGATTGGACAATGAGGAGTGAATAAAGAAAACTGTTAAAAGGGGCAGATGTGTGATATAAGTGGAGTAAACAAACACTCAAGTTAAGTCGTGGGTCTTCTGAGGTCAGCGAAATTCACACCGACAGTGGCGACCTGCATTGAAATGAGCTTATTAAACCACTAATGATTTTGGCTGGGCTATCATCCCCACCTGCCCCAAAGCCTCATAATTTAGGTCTGGGGATTGCGTGGATGACACCACCACCGCCGCCGCCGCCGCCGCCGCCGCCGCCGCCGCCACCACCACCACCACCAGACGAAATTAGCGAGAACCAATTCTTTCGTTGGGAGAAATGTACTGATGACAGAGACTTATCGGCGGTAGCAGGCTTACCGGAAACAATCCTCCAATGTACAGTCTGAGCTGCGAACCGCTCGTCGATGCGGCTTCCTCATTCTGGGAAGACCCCCCTCTTAAAGTTAGTGGCCAACTTAACTAAGAGAAAACGCGCTAAGTTACAGTTTAGTCCCGAAACTAGCTCACATACAGTTTTCAAGTAGAAAAAGTTTTGCAAGTCGGCAAGGCAGAAACAGTGCTCCGTTGGGACCACAAAGACCCTCAAGGGACTTTTATCCGTCTCAGCATGTGTTGTTGCTGCTCGCCTGCCTTAAGTCTGTTCAATAAACTGTCAAGCATTTCGTTCGGCTACCAGGTCCTACGGGCAAATTCGGTTCCCTACTGAGCAACATGCCGTTTACTGCTTTTTCCGGAAAAATGGATTCCAAATTAACTGTGTTAACGCAGCGGAGATCAAGTGAGCGCGTAGATTTTTAAATCGCCTTCTAATTCACCTCACCTGAGAGTTAGCAAAATGAAAAACCACGATTATAAGGCAACTCATTTATTACTATTTATTAGATTCATCCTTGTTGAAAATTACAATTTCGACCTGCTTCTGCACGTTGTCTTACTTGTACTTGATACGGTTGCGATCATGCCTGATCTAGCCGGCCTCGATGATGTCCCGAACTGTACCTCTCCACGCGTGATGATACGCGGCAGCAGATCTGGACAGCTCAACCCATTCCCTTCGCAAACGACGGAGACCGAATACCGAGGGTCCAAGAACCACCTCCATGTCTTGACGAACTGTGTAGAGCCAGGTTTTGAACCGACCCCAACTTCGACGCCTCCAAAGGGGCAACGGTGTCGGATCGATGGCAGTAACATTGAGCTCCTGAGGTGGACGACGAAGAACATGCCCGAACCACTTCAGTCGTCTTTCTTGGATGGCCTGGGTTATCCTTGCGGACTGTCTCATTTAAGACGAGGTCGGTGGACTTCACTCGATGGATGGTCCTCAAGCAGTGGTGGTCAAATACCTCCAGTTTTCGCTCGTCCTCCACGCGCAAAGCCCAGCATTCACAACCGTGAGAAGGACAGACCGGACATATGCACGGTACACGCGAATCTTAGTGGCGATGGTGAGGTCATGTCGGTTCCACAGGCATTTCCGAAGGCTTGAGAAAACCCAGCGGGCAGCATCGATTCGGGAGACAGTGTCGTCCTTTTTTCTGTCCATTAGGCAGCAGCCTGTCTACTTCTTCAAGTTCATAGCCATCAATCCCGCGGGATGCCTTCTCCTGATCAGGGATGCAGCTTGGGAACACTTTGTTCTTCCCAGCGTTTATGGACAAACCGACCGATTTAGCGACCTCGTTCACCTGTGACACCATAGACTGCAGATCACCAAAACTTGAAGCAAGTACGGCGATATCATCGGCATAGTCGAGATCAGTTAGTCGATGTCCGGGTGCAAACTCAACGCCGTCACTCTCGCGTAGGGCCCTTCCGAGGATCCAGTCACTAGCGTAGTTGAACAGTATGGGTGACAGAATACAACCCTATCCGACGCTAGACCGAATACCGAACGGTTGGGAAAGATTGTTACGGACCAGGACTCTCGCAGTAGTGGAGCGATAGTAGGCTTTGATCATGACGATGATTTTTTCCGATACACCATCTAGCGCCATTATCCGCCACAGGGACTCACGGTGAACGGAATCGAACGCGGCGGCAAAATCAATGAAGCAGACGGCCGTCGGTTGTTGGTAGCTTTAGTGAAATTCGAGAATGCGCCTCAGTGTAAATATCTGGTCTGCGCATCCACGTCCAGCACGAAATCCGGCTTGGTTGGGCCTCGTCCTCGAGTCACGCACAGCCTAGAATCGCCTGAGTAGGACAATTGCGAAGATCTTCGCAGCAACGTCGATGAGACTTATGCCGCGGTAGTTCTCTCATCTCGTCTTATCTCCCTTCTTGAGGATAGGTACAAGTGCACGTTGTGGTTGAAGTTTGAGAATTTTCATTGCATTCGTAAAAGGGAGTCTAAATTGGAAGAGCGTCTACACCTTCAGCCTCCTGAGAATAGTCCGTCGAATGGCAATTTCAAACATGCTGCGTGGGTGTGGAGTCTGGAGGCCAAGTTGGCCACGGGAGGCATCCAATGCTATGAAAGTTTTTGGAATCCTAAACAGTAGGACATCAATGAGCTTGCGCATTTTTCTGGAAAACCGGTCCTAGCAGGCTCGAAAATAGTAGGAGTGACAGACCCTTAACACTCTCACCAGGGAAAATCCAACTGTTCTTTTCAGAGCTCCAGACAGTTGACAAGACATGGATGGAACCTGACTATCTAGAACAGTTACGGCAATTATTCCATCATAAAATCAATTGCCGGTCATGCCGTCCCCCCTGATCGCTGGGTTGCCGGCAGATTAAAAAGCAAAGAAAGAACGTGCAAGGTTCCCAGAACGAACGAAGTTACTCCGGCCGCAAAGCTACGAGGACAGCAGTTATTTACCCCTAGCCTGTTTCGAGCGCGTCTATCGCATCCGGCAGCTATGTGGATGACATGAACGAGCATTCGTTAGGAGCACCTTCGCTGGCTCTTCCTCGCCAACAAAGAAGCAATAAGTGGGTTAAAAAACGGAACGGCTTAGATTGCCGAACTCGCCTAGCCTTCCGAATTGGTCGGAGTCGCCTACCGAATTGCATGTCTCCATCTCAGCAGGACTTCATATAGGGAGGCCGTTCCTCTAGATGACTGAGTAGCGAGAACTCGAGCGTAAAGGTGCACTGAGACAGAGAGAGAACGTCCTGATTCAGTGGAAAGACTAACGATGGCATGGTGTGCACCCCGTCTACGCGTCCAACTGCATGGCTGGTTCTTCCCCACTCGGGCCGGCTCAAGCCACGAGGTCCACCCCGGCCCCACGAGGTATGTCAAGCAGACTTATGCAGGAGTTTGTTTTTAGTGAAACTGGCTAGTGCCGCGTCTACCTCATCCCATCTACATATCCACACATCCTTCGTCTTCTGATGCCAGGAAAAAGCCAACGCAGTAGCTGACAATGTTAAACAGCTCGTCTACGCGTGTCACACATGACATGGTTCTCCTGTGCCAGACTTTATTGACTGGGATGCCTCAGATCTCACGTAATTGAGTGTTATTGAGGCCACATTAAGATGATACTTTGTAGGGCCGTGTACGGCGGTCTCAATTATTTCACGTATTGTAGCTCCACACGCGCGACGACCTGCGAAATTGGATCTGTACGACTCATCCCATTATTTCCTCCGGCGACGGAGACTGAATACCGAAGGTCCAAGAAACACTTCCTTATCCTGACGAACTGTGTCGAGTCAGGTCTTGAGTTAATCTCCTTTTCGACACCTCCACGTGGGTCGAGGGCAAAAACACCGAGTTTGCGCGGCCGACGAAGAAGAATTTTCCTGAACTACTTCGGTCGTCTGTCTCGGATTGTTTGAGATATCCTCGCGATATCGATGCAGTGAGTGCGAACCGCCTAACTTGAGACAAAGTCGGTTTACTTCACTCAAAAATGGTCCATAAACTGTGATGATCAAATACTTCTAGTTTTCGCTCATCTTCGACGCGCAAAGGACGGCATTCACAACTGTAGGTGAGGACTGACCAGACGTACACGCGGATCTTCATTCTAGTGAACATGTCGCGCCGGGTCCTTAGACACTTCCTAAGGATTGGTAAAACCCTGCGGACAGTATTATTTCGGGAGACGGCGCTGCCCATTGGCCAGTAGTCGCCCATGAAGTATTCGAGACTGTCTACTTCTTCAAGTTGACAGCCAGTAATCCCGAGGGGTGCTATTTCCTGGTCAGGGATGCAGATTGAAAACAATTTCGTCTTTCCAGCGTCTATGAATAAGCCGACCGGAGCAGAGACTTCATTCACCCCTGACACCCATGTGGCCAAAGTTTGAGGCTAGCAATGTGATATCATCAGCGTAGTCTAGATCA